GGGGGGTGTGTATGTGTGTGTGTGTGGGGGGTGTTAGTGTGAGGGGAATGTGTGTGTTAGGGGGGTATGTGTGTGTGTGGTTGGGGGGCAGTATTGGAATACTGTCGTGACCATCTAGAGGAATGTGAATGTCAGTCCCCCATTGCCCACTACTTCTGTAATCCCCAGCCCCCCACCTCCTGTCACCTCCCCTGGATTAATGACTTTTCCAGAACTTTCTGCCAAATTCTCCACATTCCTGTACTCATTTCAAACGGTTCCGGTCTGAACTCTTGCCAAATGGCATGTGCTGCAGTCGTTCTAAACTTCGACAAACACTCCCCAGGGAAACGTAGTAGCCGGTGCTGAGGAATATTCCAGGAGAAACGAACAAGGGATGCATCGTTTTAAATAATGTGGAGCAGTCAGTTTCTGAAAGAGGCTGAGTTTAACTCTTGACACTAACTTAAAAGTTAGCAGGAATGGGGCCCGAGTAGCTTATTCCTGCTCCTATTTCCCATTGCTCTAACTTGTTCCCTGCTCTATGACACTGTCGAGTTCATTTGTGCCCAGTGTAACAAAATGACGAGTTCTGCATTTACATAGCACCATGTGCAGCATAGCCCAGGGTGCATTACAACCACTGAGGCGATTTGAAGTGTAGTCACTGTTGTAGGATATGGCAGCCAGTTTGCGCACAGTAAGCTCCCACGTGTTAATGATGTGACAATCGGTTTATCAGGATGTAGATCTGGGTGGGATGCTCTGAGGGTCGGTGAGGACTTGTTGGGCCGAAGGGACTATTTCCACACTGTAGGGAATCTATGATGATATGATAGAAAGATAGAGGGATAAGCAGTGACCAGGCCCCCAGTCTCATGGGGAATTTCACAGCAGCACATAAGAGTGGACGCAGTTTTGGTTTAATGTCTCATCCAATAGATAGTATCTCTGACAGTGCACCATGCCCGATACTGCACTGGGTGGGTCAGCCCAGAAAGAACAACCAGGAAAACTTGTGAAGGATGCATTCAGACTCGACTCAACTTGTATCCTGCAAAACGGAGCTCCAGTGCATTCATTTCCAATTTCCTCCCCCACCATCTCCTCTGGGAAATGATGTGCTCAAGTCTTTGGAGTGCAACTTGAACTTTATCTTCCTGGTTTGGCATGGTGTGTGTTATACATTGAGCCAGAAACTTGAGCTCTTGTATTTGTGCAGGACATACCACATAATAAAGGAGTGATTCACTCCCATCTGGCATTGTAGAGATGCTGTATGTCTGTGTCAGCTCCAGTAGATGTGCACCTTTGCTATTTAGGAACAATTGACTGCAGTTATTGTAACTCCCATAGAGTACAGCTCAGTCACAACTTCTTTCCACGTACAACTGTTGTAAGCAGAGTGGGTGAGATTTGATTATATATCCTGTTGGTACTAACACAGCTATGGTCCATACTACTTTGAGCCTCAAGTCCACTATCCAATGTATGTTTCCTCCTCCTGCTTCCTCATTGTTCAGATCAAGGCCCCACTCATAAAATCATAGAGTTATTATGGTAGAGAAGGAGGCCATTCAGCTCATCTAGCCCATGTTGGCTCTTTGCACAGCATTCCAGCCAATGCCTCACGTGCTCTACCCATACAGCCCTACGGGTTGTTTTTTATTCATTCACAGGATGTGGGTGTTGCTGGCTAGGTCAGCATCTATTGCCCATCCCTAATTTCCCAGACAGCAGTGAAGAGTGAACCACGTACAGGTCTGGAGTCACATGTAGGTCAGATCGGGTAAGGATGGCAGTTTCCTTCCCTAAAGGGCATTAGTGAACCGGATGATTTTTTTCTCCCCCCACAATTGGCAATGGATTCGTGGTCATCATTAGACTCTTAATTCCAGATTTTTTTTTATCACATCCAAATTCCAACATCTGCCATGGCGGGATTCGAACCTGGGTCCCCAGAACATTACCTGGATCTTTGGATTAACAGTCCAGTGATAATACCATATCGCCATTGCCTCCCCTTCAAGCGCCTGTCTAATATCTTGTTTGAAATCTTTAGTCACCTCTGCCATCGTGGGCAGCGAGCTCTAACTCCACTCACTGTGTTAAAAAAGAGATGTTTTTCCTCACATGCCTCCTGCATCTCGTGTCCAAAATCCTGTGTTCCTTAGTCCTGTAGCATTGACTAGTGAGAACAGCTTCTCTTTGTCTACTTATCTGAATTTCTCGTAATCTTGTACATCTCTGTCAAATCTTGGAAATACATCGCCATTCTTTCAGTGCCAAAATCCTGGAGCTCCCTCCCTCACAGCATTGTAGGTCACCCTACATCCCAGGAACTGCAGCGGTTCAAGGGGGCACCTTCACCAAGGGCAACAAATGGTGGCCAAGCCAGCAATGCTACAGCCAATGGGAAAAGCAGAACATGTGATCTCAGGCCACCTCAAACCTTTTTGTGACAAGAAATTCATCAACCCGCCCTCAGTCACCCCCTCCTGATCTTCACCCCAGAATCCAGCTGGGCAATTAGGGATGGGTAATAAATGCTGGGCCTAGACAGACGTCCACATCCTGCAGTGAATAAAATAAAAAGCCTGTTACTGAATGTCCACGTCAACTCAACTTGCTCCAGTTTTGAACTCAGAATTGTTTTTTATTGAATATTTGAGAATTAGGTTCTGTTTGCAGTAGGTTCTGATATAACAAAAAACCCAAAATGTTTATTATAAGCAATGTGCAGGGATGAGTTATCAAGGTTCCCAGTGAAAAGTGAACCTTATGAGATCATAAATAACTTTGACAAAGTAGAAGTGGAAAGGATGCTTAATTCTTCTGGGCCCAGAGTTAGGGGACACTTTCAAAACTGGGGTTGCTCTTTTAGGACAGAGATGAGAAGTAATTTGTTGTTTTAGAGGACTAGTGACTTTGAAATTCTTTGGAGCTCTCTCTGCCTCTGAAAGCAGTGGAGACATGATCATTGAGTACTTTTAAGGGAGAGGTAGATAGATTCAAGAGTCACACCAGACTTGAAGTGTTAACTCTTTCTCTCAGATGCTGCCAGACCTGCTGAGTTTCTCCATCACTCTGTGCGTTTGTTATAGAGAGATTCATGTTAGTTAAGGAAATCAGAGGTTATTAGGGTTGGATGGGTATGTGGAATTTAGAACATAAACAGGTCAGCCATGACCTTATTGAGTGGTGGAGCAGGCTTGAGGGTCTGAATGGCCTACTTTTGCTCTCAACGTTTGTATATGTAAGTGTTATCGTTAGCAAAATGAGTGATGCTAAGCCAACTTACTGTCTTTTCACAGAACCCCTACATCGTGGAAACAGGCCATTCAGCCTATCAAGTCCACACTGAGCCTCTGAAGAGTATTCCACCCAGACCCACGCCCTTTCCTTATCCCTGCATTTCCCATGGCCAATCCACCCAACCTGCACACCCCTGGGCCCCTGGGGCAATTTAGCACAGCCAATCCACCTAACCTGCTGATCATTGGACTGTAGCAGGAAACCGGGGCAGCTGGAGAAAACCCAACACAGACAAGGGTCTAGGCCCAAAACATCAGCTTTCCTGCTCCTCTGATGCTGCTTGGCCTGCTGTGTTCATCCAGCTCTACACCTTGTTATCTCAGATTCTCCAGCATCTGCAGTTCCTACTATCTCTGATACAATTTTAACCCACTGCGAAGCCTCTTCTAAGGCCATTTCTGAAGAAGGGTCTAGGCCCGAAACGTCAGCCTTCCTGCTCCTCTGATGCTGCTTGGCCTGCTGTGTTCATCCAGCTCTATACCTTGTTATCACAGACACGGGGAGAATGTGCCAACTCCACACAGACAGTTGCCTGAGGCTGAATTGAACCCAGGTCACGTGGGGCAGCTGTGCTAACCACTGAGCCGCTTAGCCTATCTGTGTTGTAAACTCATGCCCAACACTGAATGCTGGTACTTTGATGTTGCCGTTCTGAAATATGTGCCTCAGTTGGTAGCACTCTCACCTTCGCGTCTCTGTTTTAGTCCCACTGAGGACTTGAAAATGAACCTCAAGGCTGACCCATCAGTACAGTAGGGAAGGACAGCTGCATTGATGGAGTTGCTGCCTTTTGGATGTTCAACCAAGCCTCTGTCCGCCCTCCCAGATTCATTGGACGCCATTTTGAAGAACAAGGGAGTTCTCTCTTGGCCAATATAAATCCATCAAACACCATCACATTGTTACATTGCTGCTTGTGGCAACATGCTGTGTTTTAACCATCTTCTCCACTCCCTGTATTACAACAATGACTAACACTTGTGCTCCGACTGTAAAGTATTTTGAGATGAACGGCAGGTGCAAAGGGCGCTACATAAATGCAAGTCTTTCTTTTTGGTTCTCAGCAAGCTGCAAGAGGGCAGTAGGACCCATAGGAGCTCTGTAGAAACTGCAAACAACAGACGTCAAGACTGGAACTAGAGTGGAACTGATTGTTAGGTGTTTGGTCCAAACTATTTAGCATCACATCTCCGGGAGAGAGAGAGAAAGAGGGAAAGAGGACCTGGCACTCTCAGAAAAACAATCAACTGAAGAATCTGGGTCAGACAGAAGTTGCTGGGGCCCCAACTCCAAACAGAAGAACTCCAGAAAATCTCCCACTCTCGGAATGTGGAAAGAAGCTTTCTCTCCGTTTTAAACACGAGCATAGAGGGCGGAATGCAGTTAGGCAAGGGCTGGATCCAAGTTGCTGTGAGATTGGGAACCCCAGAGCCCTTTCTGCTCAAAAACCCAGCTGGAAGCCCGAGCTGAGACTACAACATGAGCTCCAACTTCCAGCTGCCCCGTCCTTTGAAGAGAGCTCAGCACTTGGCCGGCTGCAGGACTGTGAGAGTGGCTATTCTGGGCCAAGGGGCTGTGGGGAAAACTGGTAAGGAGTACAAAAACAAAAGCCATTCCTTTTTTTTCCTGAGGCTATCCAGATCCGTTGCTGCATACTCCAGAGACAAAATTAGCAGGAATCCTAGTAATTTAGCTGGGCAAGGATTAGACAATGTTTGGAATTTTTGGTTGTTCAGCAGGGTAAGAGTTTATACAGCTTATACAGCACAGGATCATTACAGCAAAGGAAGAGGCCTTTCTGCCCATTCATGCTGGCCCTCTGTAGAATCCAGTTGATCCCATTGCCCCTGCTCTATCCCATAGCCCTGCACATTTAATTCCCTTGTATAATGATTGATCAGGGTTAAAAAGTGTTCACTGTGTAACTGTATGTTCCTGTTTATTCAGTATCAAAAAGTTAATACTTAACCCTGTGGACCAGAAGGTTGAGGTTCATGTGCCATTGAGTCATACAGTACAGAAGAGAGACCCTTCAGCCCATCGAGTCTTTACTGCCAAAAATTCAATACAACCTACACTTCAAGTGCTCATCCAAGTACTCTTTAAAGCTTGTGAGGTTTCCCACCTCAACTACCCTCCCAGGCAGTGCATTCCAGACCCGCAGCACCCAACAAGATCTTTATCAACTGGGCCAATGAGTGGCAGATGGAGTTTAATTAAGATAAATGTGAGGTGCTGCGTTTTGGTAAGACAAACAAGGGTGGGACTTGCACAGTTAATGGTAGGGTTCTGGGGAGTGTTGTCGAACAGAGAGACCTAGGGGTGCAGGTGTAAAGTTCCTTGAAAGTGGAGTTGCAGGTAGACAGGGTGGTAAAGGAAGCGTTTGGCACGGTTGCTTTCATTGCTCAGAGCACTGAGTATAGGAGTTGGGACATCTTGATGCAGTTGTACAGGACGTTGTGAGGTTACTTTTGGAACCTGCGTATGGTTCTGGTCACCCTGCTATAGGAAGGATATTACATTGGAAAGGGAGCATAAAAGATTTACACGAATGTTACCAGGACTGGAAGGTTTATGTATAAGGAAAGGCTGGAATGTTTTTCCCTTGGAGCGTAGGAGGTTGAGGGGCACCCTTATAGAGGTTTATATAATGATGGGGGGCATAGATAAGGTGAATAGCAAAGCTCTTTTACCCTGAGTAGGAGACTTCAAAATTAAGGGGCATAATTTTAAGGTGGGAGGAGAAAGATTAAAAGGGACCTGGGGGGCAACAGTTTCACACAGAGGGTGGTTTGTATGTGAAATGAACTGCCAGAAGAAATGGTAGATGCAGGTACAGTTACATTAAAAGACATTTGGACAGGTACATGAATAGGAAAGGTTTAGAGGGATATGGGCCAAGTACAGGCAAATGGGACTAGTTTAGTTTGGGAAACCTGGTCAGCATGGACGAGTTGGACCGAAGGGTCTGTTTCCGTGCTGTATGACGCTGCCAAGATGTCCATAACATATCCAAACAGATTGATTAAAAAGAAAATTGGTTGGAATCACTTCTAATCAGAACTCGTTTGCTTCCTGCTTTTTAAAAACCCTTTTGTTTTCTCTTGATCGGTTCAGCTCTCTGTCCTTCATAAAACACTGTGGAGTGGTTAGTTATTAAAGTCTGCAGTTAACTTCTAGGTGCAGCTAGTCAAACACTGAAACTCCTTCCAAGTTCCTGAGCCTGTCCAAAACTTGTTCTCCCTGTGGGTCTGACTGTGGGAAAGGCAGTAATCCTAAACTGATGTTTTCCTTTTCCTCATCTCAGATTTTTTTTTAAAAGAAGTGATTAATGTCCTTACTCTCAGCTTGAGGTTCAAAATCAGGAAAACTGAGGATGCCAATTGGCTTCAAAGTTTCTGATTGCAATTTTTATTCATCGTCACGGATAAATAATAACCTTTTTATTATTTATGATGGGAGGTAGGTGGTGCATTCACACTAGCTGGCACCTCAAATACAGTCTGGTTCAAGCTGTTCAATGAAATATTTGCATTTATATTGTGTTTTTAGCACAGCAAAATCATCCCAAAAAATCTGATTAAACTATGTTTGGAGCCAAATGACAGGCAATCAAAAGCTTGGCCAAAGTGTTTAAGTCTAGGGAGCATCTCAGAAGAGAGAAAGATAGAGAGGCAGAGGGATTAAAGAGGTGATATTTGAGTGTTTGTGAACTTATGGGGTGCTGACAGTACAGCTGCCGATAGAGGAATGATTAAAATGTTGGATGCATAGAAAGCAGAATTGGAGGAGTGCAGAAATCTTGGAGACTGCTAGGTGGTTAGAGAGATAGGTAAGGGGTGGGTCCTTGAAGGTAAACAAAAGGATGAGAATTTTGAACTGAAATATGTAAACACGCTGCTGGCGAGATTAAACCTGCACAATGGGACAGGTAACTGTGCGTGCACAAGAAAAGACAATCATTTTTAACAGTTTACCACACAGATCAAACAAGACTCCATTATAGCGGAACTCTGGAGAAACAGGTATGGGTATAGTAATGGAATGGTTATATTACTGAGCTTCTGGACATTAATTCTGAGGACTGAGAGTTCAAATCTCACCACACCAGTTTAAAAATATGAAATCAAATTAAAAATCTGGTCCCAGTTAAAGTAATCATAATATTGACGTAAAATTCCAAACAGTTCATTAATGCCCTTCAGGGAACGAAATCCTTACCCAGACTAGGTTTTATATGACTCCAGACCCACACCAACATGATTGATCCTTAAATGACCTCTGAAGTTGACTAGCAAATTACTTAGAGCAACCAGGGATGAGCAATAAATGTTGGATTTTGACAGTGACATCCCTGTCCTAACAATTTAACATAATTTTTAAAATGCTCAAGTCATTTCCATTTCCATTTTTCCAAGATCTCGAAACAGGGAGGAGTAAGGAGTCACTTGTAAGACAGAAAGGTCTGCAATCCAAGTTTAGGAGGGACAAGGGAAAATAACCAACCATTCTGGAAAACCTAGTGAACACTGAGCCTGTGAATGCTAAATAAAAATTTTTAAAAGAAGAATTCAAAATCATAAAGAGTCACAGCAAAAACGCTGGGAAGTGGATGTCAGGAATGTTGGGTCAGCCATGATCCCTTTGAATGGTGAAGCAGGATCAAGGGGCTGAATGGCCTCCTCCTGTTCCTATTTCTTATGCTCTCATAGACAGAGTAACTTGGCAAAAATTGTTCCCACTGGTGCAAGGATTGAGAAAGAAAGGGCACATATCAAAGTAGATTGGCAAAAGAAACAATGGAGACATGAGGGAAATCTTTTTCATGCAGTGACAGATTCGATCTAGGTGTTCAAGAGGGAGTTGGATTGTTGTGTGAAAAGGAAGAATGGGCTTCGGGGTGAAGGCAGGGAAATGGTTGTTGGAGAGCTGGGATAGACAGGTTGGATTGAATAGTCTCCTTCTGCACTGCGACCATTCTACGATTTGGCCAGGTGTGATTTTGCCAAACTGCAGCCTAATGACCCTTATTGACTAGTATCAAACATACAAGACCAAACAGTTCAAATCCATCTTAAAATGACAGATAAAGTGCATTGACTTAACCTTTAATATTGATTGGCTAGGGATGGTTCAGTGTTTGTTGTTAGTTAGTCCATCTTTCAGTTTTTCTAATGTTCAAGACTGAATAGGACAAGATCCTTGTTCTCAGAGAAAAAAGATGAGTGTGACCTAATAAAGATCTAAATTATAACAGAAAGGTTTCCACTTACATGGGTGGGAATAATGAGTGTGTAAAGGGGCTATACATTTAAGAGAGACACTCATAAACCCAATTAAGAATTCAGAAGAAATAAATCTTTACCCATATGAGACTCTGCAACGTGCTACCACGGGGAAAAGTTAAGATGAATAGCATGGATACATTTAACGGGAAGCTTGAAGAGAAAGGAATAGAAGGACATTGGAAGCAGCTCGGAGAAGGTTCACTTGGCTTCACTGCCTGGAATGGAAGGGATTATAAGGGAAAATATTTGGATGAATACTTCAAATATCATAACATTCAAGGGTATGGGACAAGTGCAGGAAATTGGGATTGGTGGACTTTTAGTGGTAGTTATGGTGGTGCAGACTCGATGCGCCAAAGGGCCTTTTCTGTACTGTATGAATCTGTGAAAAAGGTTGAGCAGCTCAGGCCTACACTTGTTGGAGTTTCAAAGAACGAGGGATGATGTTACTGCAACAAACGATTTTGAGGCAACTTGACAGGATACTGGTAGTTGTTTCCTCTCAAGAAAGAATCTTGAATTTAGGGTCACAGTATAAAAACAAAGGCCTCCCATTTAAGACACAGACAAAAATAATCATTTTTCCTCTCACAGGGTTGCCACATTGGGCAATTCTCTCAGACAGCAGAGGAACCTAGATCATTAAGTGAATGCTGGGTTGATTTGGACAGATTTTTGATAGACAAGGGAGTTGAGGGTAACGGCCACAGCCAGGAAAGTGGGGCTATGACACAATCAAATGAGCCACTATCTGATTGAATAATTGAGTAGGCTGGAGGGGCTGAATGGTCTCCTCCAGCTCCTATTTCTTATGATCACATGATGCAAATTGTTGATCAGTTTAGGCGAACAGGGATGGGAGGAAACCAGCACGGAACTTATGGGCTCACTGAGCATCCATTGATCATTGATGTTTAAACAATGCTGAAGTACAGAGAACGGCAGTGCAGATCAGGACAGTGACAGTCAGTAGAGTATTCCACTTCACATCTAACTCTCACACCTTTGCTTTTCCAGCAATCACTGTACGGTTCATAACCAAAAGATTCATTGGAGAGTACGATCCAACTTTGGGTGAGTATTCATGATGGAGTGGCTTCTGAAAAAGAATCCTTCAAGTGAGCTGTCAGCTCTGTGTGTCTGTGCCACTGTGCGTTTGCTGAAAGGATATTTACAACATTGCAATTACAGGGCAGTAAGTGCTACTCCATGTGTCTCTGTGTATTTGTTGTGATCTACAGTTAATATAAACACCTAGCCCATTTGGACATTCTATCGCACTCTGCAAGACTGCCAACAGCTAAATTATCTCGCTGATGTGCAGTGTGTGTATGTCTATCACTGCAAAGCAGAGTGATAACAGCTGGAATGTCTCACTCCCATACACAGCTTGTTCCAGCATGTGAGAAACAAGAGATTGGAGTTGTCAACGTCTCACCCACAAGCTGAAACCTGAAGCTTCACGGACAGGAGTGAAATTCAGCACTGCAGTCAGATGTCTCCAAACAATAGAGTGCTCAGTAAGTTCACTGCAGGGACTCTCAAGCATAGCAATGACATATAAAATAGTACAGCACACACTGTACTCCTATCTCAGTATTCATCACTTAAGTAAGCTTTCTGCTTCACAACAACTTTCAGTTATTGAGCACCTATACATTCCAAGGTCCAGGACTATGTGCTGAGGGACATACTAAAGCTTGGGGCAGCCAAGGACAGTGGGGATTGGCCACTGTCTAAGCGCTTTCTGCCGAAGTTAACTGGGGTCTGGTCAGTTATTGGACCCCCTCCCTGCCCAGTCCCTCAAACGCATGTAAATATAATCTTGTACAAGTGAGAAATGCCTTTAGTTTGATTGCCGGATAGAATCAAACTCCAATGTTTACTTCTTCATATGCTACTGTACAAAACCACACTGCTTTAAAGACCATGCAGGTATATAAAAGATATTTTTAATGAATAAAACATATTTTTGAAATTAAAAAGCACTTTTAATGAAACATGTGAGATTGTTTAGGGCAGCAGATAGTGTCCCTGAGCCAGGCGCTCCAGCTCAAACCCCATTCCAGGACTTGATGTCTGGAGGAGGTGTGGTCATAATGTGGTTGAGTGCCAATGTGCCAATCCACCTCATGCCAGAAGGATTGGTACATTGCCAATGCCACACAGGAAGAGTGGAAGAGATTCCTGGTCAGCCACACGGTGCAGAGATTGACAGAGCCTCTACTGTCAATATCTGTAGCTCCAGAATACATCATGCCCATAAAACATGCATGGTGCCACCCATGGAATTCAGAGTCCCTCACTGAACTGTAACACGCCACCACCATGTTATGAGAAATTAAGCTGCTTCATTACAAGTAAGTTTTAAGGACTGACTCCATTTTTTACAGGATGGGAAAAGGTTTTTTAAGTCTATCATTTCCACACCACTCATCAAACATCCATCTGTTCTAATCCCATTTGCCAGCACTTGGTCCGTTGCCTTCAATGCTGTGGTGTTTCAAGTGGTCATTAAATATCGGGGCGGCATGGTGGCTCAGTGGTTAGCGCTGCTGCCTCACAGCACCAGGGATCCGGGTTTGAATCCACCCTCGCGTGACTGTTTGTGTGGAGTTTGCATGTTCTCCCCACGTCTGCGTGGGTTTCCTCCGGTTTCCTCCCACAGTCCAAAGCTGCGCAGGCTAGGTGGATTGGCTGTGCTAAATTGCCCGTAGTGTTCAGGGATGTGTAGCATTGGCGGGTTATAGGGGGATGGGATGCCGAGGGTCGGTCTGTTTCCATGCTGTAGGAATTCTATGATCCATATATTAAATGCCTTGAGGGCTCCCACCATTACCACCCTTAAAGCATTGATTTCTAGATATCCATGACCTTGTGAATTCACTTATTTTCCCTGACAACCCCTCCCACTCCTTACTTTAAAACACTACCCCTGCCCCCCCAAACCCTGATATTGATCCCTTTTCTTAAAAAAAAGGATTTCATCCTGTCTACCTTCTGCCCCTCAGAGCTTTGTACACCTCAATTAGATTGCTCCTCCCCCACCATGCCCCAGCCTTCTCTACTAGAAGGGAAATGACCCCAACCTGTCTAGTTTCTCTTCACAGCTGAATCACTCCAACCCAAGTAACAGCCTGGTAAATCTCGCTTGCACCCTCTTCCATTATAAAGTCATTCTGCAAGTGTGGCAACCAGAACTGCACACAGCTATAGCCTAACTAACATTACGTCCAGCTCCATCATAACCACCTTGCACTTGTATTCAGTGCCTTGACTAAAAAAGCCAAGTATTCTAAAGGACTTGGAGAGAGATTAGAGGTTTATAGAGGAATTGGTGGAACACAGGGCCCAGGCAGACACAGGTATGATTACCAAAAGCAGAACATTGAAATTGTGAAGATGTCCAGTAATGTCCAAACTGTAACTAACATTTCTACTCATTCACAGAAACAATATACAGACACGTGTCCTCAGTGGATGGGGAATGCGTGCAGTTTGAAGTTCTGGATACTGCGGGACAGGTAACGTAATCACAAGGTCATCATGAACACGTGGCATTGCCTCTGGAAACTGGGTTTCAAAAACCATTCAAATAAAATACTTCAGCTGCTGGAAATCTGAAACAAAAGCACAAAGTGCAGGAGAAACTCAGCAGGTCGGGGGAAAAGAGGAACAGAGTTAAAGCTTCAAAGGCAACGTGACTTCTTCAGAACTGAAAGGGGCTGACAAAAACGGTGGTTTTTGTGCAGCTAACAGAAGGGAAGGGGGAGCAAGCGGAACAGATGGTGGGGATGCTCAGAGCAAAAAGGTAAAAGGGAGTGTTTGAAAATAACTCCACAGAGGCTGGTATCCTGTCACCAAGTCACCCTTTATTTACACTGATCCAGCTCCCTCAGAGCCAGCTCTCGGTGAACAGGACCCTGACACAGGCAGGGCTCCCTGATTGAACCAGATTAACAGCCCCATTCAGGGAACGCATTGAGGTTCACCTGGCTAACCTTGTTATATAATTACTACAATACCAATGGTGATAGAGATGTAAAATGGGCATAAAGGATCGGTGTAAAAAAGACAATGGTCCATTTTTCTGAGAGCAAAGTCAACCAGACAAAAAAAAAACAGCCATGAGCTAGGGATGCAAGAAAAACAAGGGATTCACTGATATTTAATTAGAGCATTCACTGGTGAGCATATGGAAAGGTTACAGCTAGTAAAAAAAATCCATTTATACAGCAACTTGTATCAGGATTTTCCAAAATGTTTTACAGCCATCAAATATTTTGTAGCATAGTCACTTGAAGTGTTGGAAACATCTCATAGCAAGCTCCCACAAACAGCATTTAAAATAATGACTTGGTAGGATAATCTGCTACTGTATTCCTCTCAAAATGCAAAAGAAAGGGAATAAATAACTTTTCTTTCCCCCCTCCCACTCCGCAAAGGAAGAGGACGCAATGCTGATCGAGGAAAAGATCAAATGGGCCGAGGGCTTCATCATTGCCTACTCGGTGACAGACCGGTGTAGCTTTGACGAGGTTCTCAGGCTCCGGTTCTTGATCAGCCACATCCACTCCGGCTTGAAGCGGGGTCACAACGATGCCCCACCCCCGGTGGTGATCGTCGCCAACAAGAAGGACCTTCAGTACGACCGGATGGTGACCACAGAGGAGGGTGATGGCATCGCCCGGGCACTCAAATGCTCCTTCTTCGAGATCTCGGCCCGGGACAGCTACGAGGAGACGGTCAGCGTCTTCAATTTGCTTTACCGGGAGATGGCGACCAGTGGAGCGCTGTCAACGTTCCGGCGGAAGGTCTCTTCGAAGCTGATGGATAAGATACCCAGGATCCCTTCAAACACCACCATGAGCTTGTCCACACGGAGTTTCAGCTTGAGTTCTGTGAAGGACTTCTTAACCGATTAAGCTTCTTGCATCTTGTGGAAAGGCTATCCAAAAGACTCGTCTCCGTTTGGCCGGCTGGTAACAGCCCAAAGCAACTTGCAGCCAGTGCAGTCACTGTTTATAATATAGGAAACAGTGGCAAGCATCTTTGGCACAGCAAGTTCTCTCAAACTGTGACATGAAACAGATGTTGGTTAAGGGCTAAACATGGGCCAGAACACCAGGAAGAAATCCTCTACTCTTCTCCACATTGCAAGGGATCATTTATGGGGCCGCAGTTTGAACTCTCATCTTGAAATCGGATTGCTCTGGCGTTAGGCTAAATCATACAGCTTTTCCTGGTGACCCTCAGCATGGGAATGATAGTTACATTCAAGGCTTGCAGGACACAGAGGTTCCCGATGAGCAGAATGGCCTCCTGTTTTTGCAATGACTAGGACTGGGGGCCATTTATTTGTTTTTAAAAAACAGAGAAATTGAAAATAAAGCCAACAGGATAACAGACGTCTTACAGGCATCTTCACAAGTCTGTCGAACTGCTTTAACATTCTTGAAGTGGTTAAACTATTTCCCTTTTCTCTATCCCTGAGCTGTATATATGCAGCAAAATTCTGCAGATGGTTGATAGAATATATATATTGCTGTTTCCTGGATATGAATAATATATGCCAAGAAGGCAGAGGTATAGACTATCGTCGGCTCTCAAATTGCAGGAGTCAACCAGTTGAATTTTTATGGCATTTCCTGCAGTGATGTCACATTCACGTTGGGAGATTCCACAAAATTAACAAACTTTAGTTTCAGTAGTAAAAATGAGGAGGAGTAACTAACCTTTAAACTGTCCGTTACGGAGAAAGTAAAAAGAAAGGGGATACATGCATGATATGCTTTCATGGAGAACAGGCACTGACACGAGGTGGAATGGTCTTTTCTACAGGGTTTTACACAGTGGACTGCATCATACATTGAGCAGGAGCACAAGTTATGCCATAGTTACCAAATGTAATTTATATACATGGACAGAAGGGGGATTTTAAAAAAAAATTCATTCATTGGATGTGGGCATCACTGGCTCGGCCAGCATTCATTGCCCATCCCTAATTGCCTAGAGGGCAGTTGACAGCCCACTACATCGCTGTGGGTCTGGAGTCACATGTAGGCCAGACCAGGTAAGGATGGCTGTTTCTTTCCCTAAAGGAACCAGATGAGTTCCACCCCCCCACCCCCACCAATTGAGATTTGTTTCATGGCCATCATTAGAGTTTCAATTCCAGATTTTTAATTGAATCCAAATTCCACCATCTGCCATGGTGGATTTGAATGGTGTCCCAAGATCATTGCTAGGGTCTCTGGATTAGTAGTCTAGTGATAACAAGACTAGGTCATCACCTTCCCCTATTAAGAGGGATAAAGCAGCTAGTGGATAGAAATGGGTGCATATTAGACACCAAATTTACCATAAACAAATTTCTCTCACTGTCAGACTGAGGGTGGCCATTCCCAGATACAGAGGAACTAGGAGTAGGTGTAGGCAATTTGGCCCATGAAGCCTACTCTGCCTTTCAGTATGTTCATGGCTGATTTTCCATCTCAAGGTCATATTCCCACTTTTCCCCATCCCCATACCTGTTGGATGCCTTTAGAATCTTAAAATATATTCAGTGACTACAGAGGTACTCCTGAAGCTGGGCAGACAAAGAAGGCGGCTTAATCCAATTAAGACAATATAATTCATTACAAGTAATGACATTTGAGACCTTTTGGTACAGTGGGCAACATTCCTACTTCTAGACCAGAGGCTCTGGATCTGCAAGTTCCATGCCAGGACGAGTTATGTGTGCACCTCCCACGGCCAAACAAGTTGACTGTCAGCCTGTAAATACACCCAGTGGTTGGGAGTAAGAGCGGGAGAGTCACCCGAGCAGCCATCCTGCAAAAGGCAAACCATGGCAGCACTTTACCCTAAGTGTGGACTAATCCAATGAAAATCATTGGTCCAACCCTGGGAAATGAGAATGGGAGAAAAGACAAACTACCAACACGGGGAGGGTAGGAAAGAGAAAAAATTAGTAGGTAGAAGTCATCCATTACAACTGAGAGAAAAGACCTGATTAAGAGATATGTGTTAGTTACATCAAGGAAAATGGGGAGCAAAATATTTGGGATTAAAACACAAGCAGCAACATTTTGTTCCAAAGTTTAATATAAAAAAAATCTGTACACTGGCACATATTAATACCACCACTAAACACGGACAAAATATTTCACATAAATCGGACAGACAACACGAGTGTTAAATTAACTCACATTTGAAAGGACTGCACAGTACACAGAGGACAAGCCATTTGCATTTAACATCTGCTTTTAAACTGCTGCAAAACTGAAAAAATAGAAGTTGTTCTGAATTGTTTAAGCCTGTTATTAAAAAAAAGCTTTAAAAACCCATCACTAGTTTGTGCTGCTTTTGACTCTTCCCCCGCCAAAGACTGCTGGGTTCAGCAAATGGCACCCAAGGAATTTAGCTCACCACTGGCCATTGGCGACAGGAATCAGTAACAGAAATGTCACTGTTGATGTGCCCAGTCATAGCGCAAAGGCCTCCCAATCTATGCATCTCTCCACTTTGCCCCAGAACAAGCGTGACTTTCCAACAGGTTCACCAAACAACCTGGCACACAGCTCAATCTCAGTCAAGAGGAGGATCTCAATCAGCATCCAACATTCATTATTGGGTAATGAGTAGAGCCCTCCAGCAGAGGTCATTGCAATTTGCTGCTACTGGTGCTCATGTGGACAACAGATGACCACTGCTTTTTCTGCTGTGACCCCAGTGTGGACCTTTTGGTCATCCAACAAAATTTGGATTCGTCGACAGGGTCTAAAATAAATTCAGGTCGCACCTGGGGTACTATGCAGGCATCACCAAGGCAGGATTGACATGGAAAATCAGCTGTACAGAAACAGGACAAAAACTCAGATCTCAAAAAGAATAACAGGTCTCCCTTTTAAGACTGAGGGGCCTTAGCAACACTCCCTCTGAGTCGCTTGGAGGGTCCATGCATGCCAATAGGTTCTGGTTCTGAAAGTTGTTGCTGTGCACGTACTTCACGGGTCTGTGAAGTGACTGGGAAAATAAGAGGGAACATGGTTGTAATGGTTTGGAATCGTCTTCCCCAGACGATAGAGGAGGCTGGGATTTTAAATTTATTCAGATCTTTGCTACACAAAGTATGGAGTGATGACAGGAAAATGGAAGGGGGACCACAACTAGATCGGTTATGATATTATCAAATGGTGGTGCAGGCTCAAAGGGCCAAGTGGCCTATTCTTGCTCTTAAGAAATAGAACAATAAACCTGCACCACAGATCTATAAAAATATCCTTTCCTGGCAATCATCTGAAGGCAGTGCTCGTTTATCTTTAGCCTCCTCACCATTCACGTACATATTGCTGGCTGTCACCATGGCTATTATTTTAGCTGATGCATCCCACGCAAACTTGCCCGAGTTAACTATCCCACAAACTGTCACTGGAATAAGCAGGTGGCCTTGAGTTTCTTTAAAGAAATACACTCAAAAGGTGCTTGTTTACAATGCAAACAGTGGCTGTTGCATGTTTGTGACAGATAGCAACAGAATCTTAAAAGATACAGTTCTTAAATAATTACAATTCAGGAGAATAATGTTGAGGAATTGGGAAAAAGAGAAGGGTCAGTATGGACAACCTTTAATCTATATAGCAGAAATCCTTCCAGATTCATAGATTTGTATCTGGCTTCAAAGGGAGGCTTGGGTTAAAGGAACAAATTTACACTTGCCCAGTTCTCAAAGAAGTCTGGGCTGCTGCCAGGTTTACAGATGTCCAACAAATGTCAAACATGATGAATTATTAGTTCATATTTTAGGAGCAGAAGCTTGAGATAGGAATAATGACACCATTGGAGATATTCCTAAACTGAAAACACACCCCACTAAACAAGGCAACATTCCCTCAGCGCTGCATTCAGTCTGGATTCTGCATTCAAGACCTAGGATCGGACTTGAACCAACAACCTTCTGATTTAAGGTCAGTGCTACTAGCGGAACCAAACTGCTAATGACGTTGCCTAAACTGGGAAAAGTTAAGTTGTGTACATGCTTTGGTCCAGACCTCCTTTAATCAGCCCATACGTGGCTGCAGAAGCTCCAAAGCCCAGACTTAATCATCAAATCTTTGCATCCCCTAGAGAATCCATTACTTGTTAATGCAAGAGATGCAAAATGGTGGAGGTTCAAGTTGGAGAAACTGTTATTTCACTTTCTGACAATGGGAATGAGAAGATTGACAACATTCACCTTTCAAATACAATCAACACCTTACCAGTGAATATTACAAAGCAATCATTTTATATTAACTCAATAAACTCTGGTGCTTCCTGGAATGAATACTGCGCAAGTTAGACAGAATAATCCAGCCTGACCTGGTAATATGCAGCAAAAGCCGTCACAACTTTTGAGCCACCTCCACCCTGGATGGTGGCCATTTCTGATGCCAGTACTGAAACAAGGTGCAACTGTAACAGACAATTCTATCTGATGAATTCATCTTGATTGAGACAAATAAAACAACATTCTCTGTTTCTGGAGTTATGATAGTTGGATAAGATCTGTCCCATTTCCCCACCCACCCGCAACCACCTGGATAATCGCTTGTGGAAGCCAGCCTCTGTCGCTTTCTCTCCTGTTTAATGAGTGCTGAGCAATTTATTCCTCTCTTTTAATAGTGTCTCTGGGTCCAGAGGAAGGACTTTGTACGACTAGAATGGAAAAAGAGACTAAAATTAACAGTTGATATGTTTTCCTGTCAATCTTTTTTCTGATCTTAATCT